ATTAACTGTCGACTCAACCTCTACCGACCCTGATGCCGGATACTAAGGAGAGTGCCGTCGTAATAAAAGAACACCTGAGCGATCACTAACTCAACACTAGCCGCCGTGAAAGGTCGCAACTGAACCTTCGCCTGAGCTAGATAGACTAACCTTACAACGTGCACGCTATGCCCCTCAGAGTAAGTCCTTGTTGTCAACCGTGAGTGCTACCAACTGTAGGGGGCTGATAACACAGAGGGAATTGTAAACTGATTGATTGGCGTTATCTACATGCATGACTTCTCTGACTATACTATATATAATGCTATACATACGTGCGCTCTGCAGAGGAACTCCTGGTGTCCATGGGCGAGCACGCCGCACGCCAATCGAGCTTGGTCGTAAACTGACGTCAACAGTGACGTCTGTTCTCATTGGTCGATAACCCTATGACGCCACTGGAGTGATGTCGCTACAGAACTTCAGAATTCAATACCAAAGAAAGCAAACGTACACACCTAAATTGTCCAATAGAATTGGAATGTGAAGATAACGTTAACGTAAATGGCCAATTTATGGTATACTTGAAAGAGACTCGTCGTCTCTCAGGACCGTGATTTCATTAATTCTGAGAAGTGCTGCGTGAAGCCGAAATGTTGGGCATTCTTCTGCTTATTTAATCGGCTCGAATCGCTTCATCTTAGCGTTAATTTACTTCGATTTCCACTGAAATCAAGGCAAAATAGGTGGGACCGTTTATGGTGCACGGTTAAAGCTTAAAATATGTACAGTATGCTGCTTTTGCTTATTTTTTGGTGATCTTATTTTTCTCGTGATTCGATTGGCTATTCCAAAAATCAAGTAATTCCATTGGCCATTTTGAGTGCACCTTAAACTGTCCCGTGCACCATAAACTGGTCATCTACGTCACTAGTACATGATTGGTGGATGTTTATATTCACAGTAGAAATCACATTTTATTTAAATTCGAATCAATTTTTATTTCTTCAGTCAACTTACATCTCATAATATGAGATCACGACTATATATTATTATGTCTTGCACAGCCAATGTTTCAATTGTTATGCACCCCATCTTTGGTGGTGCCAGCCATGATGAAGACCACGACTCCCGACACGACAAACCATGTCTTCCTCGTGTCAAGTGTCGTGGTCATCGCCGCATCGTCCGCCGTGGTGGTGTCGGCGGGTGTGGTGGTGTCGATCTTATATATAGGGTGTTTGTTCTATTCAATCGTACACGCTCATAATTGTCAAGTGCTATTACAGTCATGACGTTTCGAGCTATTTGAACTACCATTTCTAACGAGTATGTGAACGAGTAATACTACTAGCCCTCGCAGGGCCAGCATCATCTTGGACTTGCATATTACGCTGCGATGGCCGCGCCGTCGCTCGAGGGCTTGCGCGGAGGGAGCTCAGCGATTGGTTGATTTCTCGGCACACTTGCTGCACATCGTCCGTCTACTGGATGTCACCGTCCGTGACGCGGTCGGCGTGCTCGGACCCGGCCAAGCCGACAAACCTGACGGCAAGATGCGGTCACTCACGAGCTCCATCTGGAGGAGGGCGTGCTACCGGCTGCTCTCACAGTGGACGTTCGAGTTGCCCGTCGCCCGACTCAACGACTTACAGTCAATCACGCTTAAAGAATAATCGACCCCGGAGTAACATAATAGCTTGCTTGTTATAAGTCGTTGTCACACAAATCCACGTACAATCGGTAGTACTCGGTACGAATAGCGTACACTCGTAACAGCGTATGTAAAATTATATAGAACCAATCATAACAACTACTATGGGTACTTCGTATTTCAGTGACCTGTCGAAAAAACTACAATAGATTTCAGTGTCCGATATGTTTCTAAGCTTGTTTTGACGCATAATACTGTATAATTACCTCCACAATACAAAAGAATGAACTTGAAGCGCTGAATATTATTTCGAATGATGAACCTGATTGACAGGAATTTAATTCGTACTTCGAAGTTCGATAGCCAATCAAATGACCTTATACTTGATCCCACTCGAAGAAAAAGTAGGCTTGATTCTGAAGTTCCCAGTAACTGTCATGATAGGCAATATCCCTGCCATCGGTTTTATAGGCCAGCATAAAACGTCTCCAATCCAAAGATAAGATGTACTCGATAAAATCATTTACAGTACCTACCAATGAATGTTGGTATACCACACACATACAAACCCCGCGTGTGGACGAAATCCCGGGGGAGAGGGCCGGGCTCTTGAAAAGTTATGTTTTGGTCGACGATTTCACTTGTTCTAAGTGGAATTAAAATTACTTACTATGTAGTACTTCGAAGTATAAACTACTAGTACATACGAGTATTACAGTACTAAGTAGTTATAATTTAACAAAAGTCTCCGATCAACAGATCATACTGTATTACAGATCTGTTGATCTGTAATACAGGAGACTTTTTAAGACCTCGGTTTTATGTCTCGCACAGACATTTCTCTACCGCACCACCATTACCCACCAATCACAAGCAAACACCCTGGTCTATATTCGGGGACGTGATCAGTTCTAATTGGCTAGATGTATAACGCGGTGGGCTGTGATTGGCCAGGTCTAGAAGGATCACCGATGGTTTTATGAGTGTTCTATGCGCCCATGAGAGCGGGATGGACGAGAGGAAATATTCTTCGAAAGAGCTCTACAGACGACGACGGATTTTAATATATACATGGTTTACGAAACAAATACTCTGGAGTACGAAACAAATTCAATGGTGTCACGAAACAGTTTTGTTACGTAAAACCGAAGTATAGGTTTTCCTTTATGCTGGATTTTGTATGCTACTGTAATTATAGAAAAATACCATTGATTTACGAAACATTCACGAAACAATAGGTACTAGTTGAACGATAGTAGTACTGTACTACAGCATACTAAGTAACCATGGAAGGATTCAGATTCGAAACGAACAGCTCCAACCATGGGCCGCGGACTACGTCAACCAACGACCTCTCAACCAACGACCTCAAACTCTACCGAGACGGCGGACGATGTAATCGCACTCCGGATTGTGGAATACACAAGGTCACAGTACGAATCCATACTCGCACGCCTCGTAAGATGGTTGCATAACGAGCATCCACAGTACGTAACAGCGCAACGCATTGTCGTTCCTGAGACCCCAGCCCTGTGCAAGTTGATGTTTTCATATGCATCCGTTAAACGGAGCCTAAACGGATACGAGCTTGTACCACGCAAGTACAATTCGGTCTCAACGACTAACCGCGTCAAGAGCGCTGTTGTGTTCCTGCACAGAGAGGCCAAGGTGGAGCTCTCAACAGAACTGAACGCAATGATGAAAGGTAGCAATATATACTATGACATTATTAAAAATTTATCGAAACTACGAGTAGAGTACGTCAGCGGCTACAAACGCAAGTTCGCACAACTCAAGGAGAGTGGTGAGGTACCTATAACAGAAGGAAAAGCTGCACTGTCATTTGGAGGTAATAAATCAGTTTTTTTCCCTTTACTGTTAATGTATATCACAGGCTATGTATTTGTTACAGGTTATAAATATTTGGCGTCTGTTGCTGTTGCCGCCGAAAGCGACTACTCTTTGTACGTCACCATGCATTCGTTCCTGCTTCTGTGCTGAAACTTGATGGCACGCGCGGTGTCAACGTCGTCAACTAGATACGAACACATTACGTGGAAAGGTCAACTAGATACGAACACATTACGTGGAAAGGTTAGTTCATATGTTTGTAGATGGAAGTATGATTGATTAGTGTTACTAGGTGACGCCCTTGAGATTCGCTATGGATTGATGACGAACGACCAAGAGGGGCGTATGTCATACCCCAGGCATATTTATACAAATCCGTCTAATCCTGCCATTTGCCCAATTTTGAGGTTGGATAATTAATTATACAATATATCCTTAATGTGTGTCGTGTAGCTTAGCTGTTTTACTGTTCACTCGTGGCGCACAACTGCATGAGTCCCCGACGCTCCTATTCGGGTACAATGAAAAAGAGCGGTTTTCGTCGTGGCTGACGAAGACATGCGCGGCCAATGAAGACGACATCGCCGGGTTCCACCGCACTTTGGTCCAACAATGGTGCTGAGGCCATCGCAGTGGGAATCCATTTTACCCGGATATTCATCATTGTACCCGTCAACGTTTCGTTCTGCCATACCGTACCTGCTCGCCTCATTGGTTCACCACCAAGCGTGGTTGAAGAGCAACCTCCACCACAGCCACCCCTTGTTATTGCCCCCTGTATGGCTGTCCGGATCGCTCGCTCTCCTTGCCTCTGAGGTACTTGGTGGTACCTTGCACAACCCAGTGTCCAAGCTGACGGCGACTGGCATCCCTCCGCATATTCCATTATACAACCAGTTGAGGGCACTCGAATCGAACTTGGGTGCGTTGGCCAATCGTGTCGACGAAGGGTTTAATGCCATCCCCCATCAACTACGCATTGTGATGGACGCAACAATCAGTAGCACGACATCAGTGACCATGGACCAACTACATAGTACGCTTGCTCAGTTTGGGGAGAGATTGTTGCAAAACATGGTGCAGCGAAATCCCTTGGGTACTACCTTAACTGACAGAATTACTCTGGCGCTGCTATCAACAACAGTGAACACTGCTATCACATCAACCAATTGGCTACAACCGGCAAAAACCTCCCCCGAAAAGTACACGTGTCCAAACGGGAAAGTATATGACTTATGGAATTTATGGTGGTCCGGAAATGCTGATACCAACATCCCGCCACTCCAAACGCTAAAATCAAAGGACTTGACACCCGGAAGGACTAAGCTAATTTCACCAAAGTCAAAACGGTGTCTCAACTATCTTGTCGTTTTCAAAATACACAAACGACGAAGTTGTAGCACTCACCGTTCCCGACAAAAACGCCGTCTTCGAGGCCAGTTTCGCGTCGCTGTATGGCCGGTTATTCGCCAGTGCCGGCGCCGCACCCCTCGGTAATCGTCGCATCATCGAAATGAGCTATCATACAGTATATGACGCCATCAATAAGCAATAAGCAATCGATGTTCACGTTCCATCTTGTTATAGTACCTGAAGTCCGCCACACTTGAACGCCAACCTTGTTGTGGTGCATGCACGCTAGCTTATGTTGACATATGAATACACACATCAACGAGCATGGTTCTTGAGATCACAGTCAGTAATATGTGCCTTTGGTTCTTACCATTGACGGTGTCAGGACGTTGCATGCACCTGGCATTCACTCGCCCGGACTTGAGAATTTCAAAAATGTCGTGCTAGTATCGTGCAAGTAATACTAGTAGTAGTCTCCTAGTATGTATCGTTCGTATTTGTTTCGTGAACCACCAAGTAACACGTACACCTTGTACTTCGAATTTGGCCTTGAATCGTAATATGATTGGCTTAAGAACTTCGAATTTAATTGTAGCCAGCCACAAAGCAGTTCACAGTTTTGAACACAAAAATGTACCACTCTGGTCCGGAATGTTTGTTGTACTCGACTTGTTATTGCGGCATTTTTCTAGAATTTGTTCAATTCTCGATCTGATTGGCTTAACGGAAAGCGCAATGAAAGAGCTTTGATTCGCAGTATTTTGAATACCCAAATTCGGCGGGACGCCAAAAGAGCACATCTCCAAAGTTGAGCAAACACAACAATATCAATAGCACACACCCGCTGAGAGTTCATTTCTTAAGTAATCGCCTCGCAGCAACCTCTATTAGTTTCCTCTTGCCCACACTATGCCTCAAGGACCATCACGCTCTCGGCCTACATCTGTGGCCGATGTCTCGACCCGCCGCAAACTCAGCAACGATGAACGAGTTGCTGCCTACCAGCTTCTGCTGGAACGATCCATCGGAGGTGTGCTTCCTAATGGTGCATTTGTGACTACTGCTAAGTTGTTTGGCTGCCATTGGAGCACCATATCTAGATTGTGGACGCGAGGAAGGTTGTCCATAGCCAACGGAGCCGCACTCGCCAACGTCGCCTCGCGACGCAAGGATAAATTCTCTAATAATCTATATTTTGCCCAAAAACATTCATTTCTGCAGAAATTAACTTATACGGGTTTACGAGTTAAGGCAATTGTGGTGCCAAGAAAGTCCGCTCGGCAATCCGACATCAAGATGGCCATCAAGGCTGTGCCACACGAAGGACGCCAAACCCTCCGCTCCACCGCAGCTTTGTCTGGCATTCCGAAGACCACCATTTTGCGGCACATGAAGGAGCCCCATGGCCTCGCGTCGCGCACAAGTCAACTGAAGCCGTTGCTGACGGACGACAACATGTTGGAACGGCTACGGTTCGCAGTCAGTTTCGTTCAGCCTGGGTTACGAAGAAACCACTCCTTCATCAACATAAGCCGTTGCTGACGGACGACAACATGGTAGAACGGCTACGGTTCGCAGTCAGTTTCGTTCAGCCTGGGTTACGAAGAAACCACTCCTTCATCAACATGTATGTGGTTTTTCATCACCAAGGTCAAGCGAAGGTTCTATCTTTATGACGAAGAGATGGCAGAGCGGGCCGCGAAGTCCAAGAAATTCATCACCAAGGTCATGTTTCTGGCAGCCGTTGCCTGCCCACGATACGACGGCAAGATCGGCATTTGGCCGTTCGTCGAGGAAGTAGCGGCGGTTCGTTCAAGCAAGAATCGTCCCAAAGGCACGCTCGAGCTGACGACCCAGAGTGTCAACGCTGACGTGTATCAAGACATGGTCATGAACGAGGTCGTGCCAGCGATCCAAGTCAAGATGCCAAGGGGTGTGGTTGTCAAGTTGCAGCAAGACAACGCAAGCCCCCACAGGTGTGTGATGACCGAGCTCATTGCTCGTCATGGCGTTGACAGCATTGAAGTTGCCAACCAGCCACCAAATAGCCCTGACTTCAACGTCCTAGACTTAGGGTTCTTTAATTCTATTCAAAGTCTGCAGCAGCAAAAGGTCGCTCGGTCAATTGGCGAGCTGATTGCTGCTGTGGAAGAGGCGTTTTATGAATTGCCAGTTACCATCCTCGGCAAGACATTCATAACTTTACAGAAAGTAATGGAGTTGTCGATGGGATGTAGTGGAGGCAACACATACACAATGCCCCACATGAGTAAGAACGCCAGAATTAAGGACTTACCATCATTCAATGTTGAGTGCGATGCAACCATCTATACAGGCGCACTTGACTCCTTGAATTGTCAAAATCAAGTATAAGTAATAAAATAAACGTTTCCAATAAACTTTGGTTGGTCTTTATGACATTTCAAAGTCCAATACAAATCGCAAGATGTTTCAAAGCACTGAGTATACTTTAATCAAGTGAAAAACATGCAGCATATATTTCGGACCAGAGTAGTATTCTATAACTGTAGGATACAGCTTTCATTGGACCATTGACCTTACTTTGTGTATGTATCATATTTATGTTTGTATACTTAAGACTTACGGGACAGCATTGAATATTAATACCAACCTTGGATACTATGGTTAATATAATATAATTGTTGAATTAAAAGCGTGGATGACATGTGGATGAAATTTGGATGACATTGGATGAAATTGGATGAAGTTGTGGATGAAACCTAAAGTAGTGACCAAGCCTTACGTTGGCCCCGAGCGCCCGGGAGGCCGTCTGCGCAAGCGCGGCCGTACGAGAGCGCGGATCTAAGCTTCTCACTTCACCGAATGATCTATCTTTTCTTCTTGTCGGGCAGCGGCAGGTAGGCCGTAGGCCGTGCCGCTCCCGGACGAGGCCTGTATACAATGACCTAGCATTATCCTAATTTACTCTCATCTATACTAATTAGGATATGACCTAATATTAATGGTGGATGACGTTGGGATGACGTTTGGATGACACATGATACTATCACGGATATTTGAAATCCATATAAATAATTCGTAGTACCGGTACCGGTAGTCGGACGGCCATGTAATCCGT